AAAATGTAACCAAAATCGGCATAATTGCCAAATTTGGGATATAAAATAGGCCTCATATATTGGGATATACAGTATATGGGACCTACCCTGAAAAATCCGCTCAATATAAATAATATTTGGTTTATCCTACCCAATGATTCAAAATATTAAAGTACAACCATTTTGGTTGAAAACCGTGACCCAACTCCCAAATTCGATTAAAAAGTATTCCAATTAAACCCCAAAATTCTGAAAAATTTGAGGTAAAGTTATATGCGTGCTAAGCATGAATTTTTTAATCCAAATAAAATTTAAATCCGTGTTCCGTTATTTTTTTCTAAAAAAAATATTCTATAAATACCCCAAATATCTGCAAACGCGTACAAAAACCACACACACACAAAAAAAAAACATTTTTTTTTGGTTTGTGTTGGCCCCGGGGCAAGGTGACTGCAGATATGCATCAAATCAAACAGCAGTAATGTGTGGCTACCAAAAAAGTGGAACGCCACAAAAAGGCAACAACAACAACAACAACACGACGACGATGGCGACCACAAATGCATAGCATCTGCAAAATTTCCACGTCGAAGAAAAAAAGGAAGCTAAACAATTTTGTACATGTGGAAAATGTCCTTGTCCTGCGGACCATTAAAAAGTATATGTATATCCTTATGCGGAGAAAAAACGCGAATAACAAACAAAAAAGCGGTCATTAAAAACAATTGAAAGAAGCGAAATGAACAAAGAAGAAAAAGCAAATATTTTTCCTTTTTAGAAAAATAAGAAAAAAAACACTTACACATTTCAATTAAAGCATGTAAAACCCCTAAAGAAGGACATACCTTTGAATTGTCCTTGTATTTGTCAGAATAAAAAAATAAAATAATAAAAAATATTCTTTAACAAATCCTCGCCTTGAAAAAATTTTTATTTTTTATATATTTTTTTTAATCTACGTCTTTATATTGTTTTGATCAAGCCCTTTTGTTGGGGCTTTAAAGAAGTCTTATAATATCCTTGGGTTGTTGGGTCCGCATTTTAAATTAGATGCCAATTTAAAAATTAGATGCCAATTTTGGTTATTTGAAAATAATTCTTTACAAAAAATCCATATTAATGTTGGTCCTTTAAAAAAATCTCGCATTTTAAAAGTCCTTGACATTTTTTCTTTTAAAAATCTGTGGAAAAATCCATGCTTTGTTTGGATCCTTGAAAAATATTTTCAAAAAATCCACACCTAGTTTGGATAATTCGAAAAATTTGTATAGAGCCCCAAAAAATATTCTTTAAAAAATCAAACGCCTGGCATAGAACCCCGTAAAAATATTCCTTAAAAAATATGCTCCTTTTTTGATGCTTAAAATATATTCTTTAAAAATTCAACGCCTTGTATAGAACCCCAAAATAAAACCACGCCTTGTTTTGATTCTTAAAAAAATATCCATAAAAAATCCACGCCTCGTTGTGAAAGGACCTCAAAAATAATCTTCTTTAAAAATCCGCGCCTCAAAATATCCTCGCCTTTGAAATGACCTAAAAAATAATCTTCTTTAAAAATCCTCGTCTTTGAAATGGCCTTAAAAATCTTCTTTAAAGATCCTCGCCTTTGAAATGGCTTCAAAAAACATTCCTTTAAAATTCTCGTCTTTGAAATGGCTTTAAAAAATATTCCTTTAAAATTCTCGTCTTTGAAATGGCCTTAAAAATCTTCTTTAAAGATCCTCGCCTTTGAAATGGCTTCAAAAATATTCCTTTAAAATTCTCGTCTTTGAAATGGCTTCAAAAAATATTCCTTTAAAATTCTCGTCTTTGAAATGGCCTTAAAAATCTTATTTAAAAATCCTCGCCTTTGAAATGTCCTCAAGAAATATTCCTTTAAAAATCCTCGCCTTTGTAATAGCCTCAAGAAATATTCCTTTAAAAATCCTCGCCTTTGAAATAGCCTCAAGAAATATTCCTTTAAAAATCCACGCCTTTGAAAGGTCCTCAAAAAATATTCTTTTAAAAATCCACGCCTTTGAAAGGTCCTCAAAAAATATTCTTTTAAAAATCCACGCCTTTGGAAGGACCTCAAAAAATATTCCTTTAAAAATCCACGCCTTTGAAAGGCCCTCAAAGAATATTCTTTTAAAAATCCACGCCTTTGAGAGGCCCTCAAAGAATATTCTTTTAAAAATCCGCGCCTTTGAGAGGCCTTCAAAATTTTTTTTTAAAAAATCTACACCTATTTTAGGACTCCGCAGTATTTTTTTTTATCAACGCCTTTAATTGGTCCCTAAAACAGTTTATGAAAAAACCCCCCTTCGTGTGTATCATCTTCAAAAAATATATATTTAATACTCAATGACCGTGAACTAAATCGCCAATGAAAAAGTTGTAATACGATCTTGAAATAGTAAATCAAGGGAGGAGAGCATTGGGGTGGATGGAGAAAACAATTTCTAAGCTATGCAGCAGTCATTATTTGAAATGACAGCAAATGGTGGTCGTTGGTCCATATGTTGCCCTTGATGCTTGCTAGAGCTGATGCTGCTGATATACTTCAAGCTTCACAAAATTGTGATGCAAAAAATAAACACATATACATACTTACATGCAGAGCAACAGAAGTATACTTGAGCGTATCATAAGTGTATGCTGCTGTCATTTTAGCAAGTCATTTTTTTCGTATTGCTGACGTTTTTGTTTTCCTTCAGGTCTGAAGTGGAAATGACTCGAGTTCTTGTGTGTTTTTTGTTCTTCATCGCCCTTCAACATCATCATCAAATACTCAAGAATGGAAGGTGGAAGGACACATTGTTTATCCATATTTTTTTCGCTACTGAAGAGGGACGATGGACAAGTCAAAATATAAAAATTTAGCTCAAAAAGGAAAGTGAAAACTTAAAGGAGAAAAGTGAAGGGTTAAACTGAATATTTGTATTTCTTTTTTTAAAGTATGCAGGCCATGGTCCTGACCTTGAACTTGAAACATGCAATGGGATTTAAATTTCTATATTTAAAAAAGAAAATGTTTAAAAATTTGTAAATTATATACAAAATAGTTTCTTTTTATCCCACATAGCCACGATGTAAGGTTCATGTGCCTCCCCTGCGCTTGTAACGCCATGAAATATTGGTTTTGGACCCAACTTTTAGTTTGCCAATCATATTCATGTCTCGACTAACAAATCTATCTAGGGCATTTCGGAAACTTCTTAGCTTAGCGCGGTATAAACTGAAAAAAGTTAAGTGTTTGGGAAACTTCCATCTCTGTTATGAACACATGTTAAATTTTGTTTCGATCTGACAACTCTTTCATATAGAAAATAAAATAAAAATATTTTTGAAAAACTAACTATTCTCTTTCATTGATAGCCTAAGAAGTTTCCGAACCATCCTCGTAGTTTTGTGCCCGTCTCTCCATCTGTTCATTATAAATTGTAATCTAAATATCAGGCGGATTAATCGAATTTTGATCCAATAAAAATTTAAGTTCAGATGGTAGTTGTGTAGGGTATCATATGGTTGGCCCCCTGTCCTCGTATGCTGCTCCCCTCACTGTTTTTTCTTGCAAGGAAAAAACCCCGCTTCTGATTCCTTTATTGGATTCCTTGTTTAATTTCTCTTGAATTAGTTTCATCTTAAATAAGAAGTATCATTTATGTTAGAAACAAATAAACATTGAACAAAAAATGTCATTTCGATTGCGACGACTCCTAAAATTGATCGACATACATACGATAATCCACATTCCCTCATAATATCGTATAATATTGTTGGTCCTGTCCTCGAATACAGCTTTCCTATTATATTGTCATGAAAAACACGCTTCTGATACTACCTTGGCAACTTCGCAATGTAGGGGGTACCCCATTTTCTATTAGGTAATACAATTTGACTTATTTAGTTTCATTTTCCTCTTCTTCCTGACACTTAAGTGCAAAGAAGACAGATAGAAAGAGCGGGAAGAGTATATGAAAACTTGGTGTTTGTTATTTTGAAAACATCAGCTACCCTGTCATGAAGCCAAATGTAATCACTTCGAAAAAACAAGGCTGTAAACAGTCTAGGTAATAGTTTTGTATGCGACGTACAATTTGGGAAATTAAATGCTCTAATTAGAGGGAAAGTACATACATTTTATTTGATATCCCATTTCAGAAGTTCCACTTCCTGGGTATAAACATGTGAGGAAAAAAGAGGTTGTAATTATCCTCGCTTGAGATAACACATCCCTTCGTGAAAGTATCTATATTTTCCTCGTGCAATCCTGATGAAGTTAGCAGATGATGGTGGTAACCTCCTACGAACTCGTGTCAGCCAAACTACGCTTATCGTTGAACTCCTTCTGGCACCTCCCATCCAAAGTGTCAAAATGTTGAAGCGAAGGGAATATCCTAATTCATACATGACAAAATTTTCAACAATTCTACATCAAGTCCAAATTTAGGAAACATTCTTCCACTCCTCCTCCTTAAATTCGAACTGGCGACACGTTACGGAATTTTTGTAATTGTTTCCACCTGATATCCTCCCATTGTTGTCAACACTAAACTTGTTTTTGCATGTTTACTTTCCCTAATTGGAGGTGGGTTTCGGAAATTTGTTTCAACTTTGCCATTTGTACGGTTGGCTGAATGAACTATTAGCGAAAAATCACAAAGTATAGGGCATGCAATGTGCAAACCTAATATTCAATTTACTGTTGCAATTAATGTTGCTACTATTGTTGTTGTAGAAAAGTGCATTTTGCATGTTTGAAATAGTCTTGCAACGAAAATGCTTTTGGGTTCGGTGATTTTTTTTCGCACGGTTCTGCTACATGAACTGTGGCATTGAGTAAATTAGCTTACGATTGGAAAATTGAATTTTCTGGTTTGCAAAAAATTTGATTACTCGGGCGTATGTCTTTGATTAGCGTGCGTTGGCATTTTTCTGGTCTTGGAAAGGATTTAATTGAGATTTAGGATTAAATATCGTTAATTTACTAATTAATATTATTTGATTATTAATGTGTTTTTTTCTTTTCTTTCCAGGGTGGAGAAGTTATACAAGAAAGCATTACATCGAATGTTAGCGAAGATCTGATCACATTGGAATTTCAAAAGAGCGATGGAACGCTGATAACGCAAGTTATTGATTTTCGAAATGTAAGTAAAGAAAGGTATTCTTCCTAAAAATTATCCAACATAAGTTGCAGCTACATCTTTACTGAGTATCCTGAAATTTTATTTGAGCTACCGTGAATGGATCCAAAACCATTTGGGGGGCTTCCAGGATTAGAAACTGAACATTATACCTTTTTATGAGTTAGTTTTTGAGATGTATCCACAACAAAACCACCTCCATCAAATTCTTTGCTTAATTTCTATGCAATTATTTTCATTTAACAGAAATTCCTTCCATTGCATTCCTTGTTCAATTTCTCTTGAATTAGTGTTTCATCTTAAATAAGAAGTATAATTTATTTTAGAAACAAATACAATTTGAACAAAAAATGCTTCTCCGATTACACCGGCCCATAATATCGTTTCTAATGCGGGTTTTATTTCACTGTTTATTCCTTAAAAAAATTACCTCAATTTTGTCAGTATAAAATCCTATAATGAATATTGCATGCACCGTCGTCAACTTGGAATACAAATATACAAATCTATTTGTTTTGAATTATCATTTATGTTAGAAACAAATAAAGTTTGAAAGACTTTTGCATACAAATTCCGCAATGTACCAAAAAATAATAGAACAATTTTTCATAGTTGAAAAACCTCATCGATTTATTTATGGTTTGAGTATTGCATACACCTTCTTAATTTTTGACTAAAGAATTTATAAAACTGGCTTATTTTAGAAACAAATAATGTTTGAAAGACATTTGGTTATGAATTTCGCAATGGGCATAAAAAGGGAAAGAAAATTAACCAAGTGTAGACTGAAGTCCATCTTTTTAATTCAAAGATATTTTCGATTGTATAGCATTTTTTAATCCAACGTGATTACTGCTTTTTATATATGCTTTAACAAATACATATTTTCAAATACTGTCCAAAATTCTATATTAAAAAATTAAAATTTTAACACGAGCATGGATTTTTTTGAAAATTCCATAAGATTCCAAAATATTGTTTTTATAATTTCCTTCCACCATTTTCTATTTCCAGGAGGTACGCATTCTAAAAGCCTTGGTCCTGGGCGAAGAGGAACGTGGCCAGAATCTCTATCAGGTGATGTGTTTTGTAACGAAATTCAATAAAGGTGATTTTATATCCTCTGATGCAATGGCCAAGCTGCGCCAGAAGAATCCAAGTACAATACGTACCCCGGAGGAAGATAAAGGCAAAGATACATTCACAATGACATCATGGGTACATTTAAATCGATCACAGCCTATATCACGACATTTAGTGACATTATGCAATGAAGCCTTGGATGCCACATATGTACGAGATGTTGATCTCAAGGCATGGTCTGAATTACCAGGTAATATACTTCAATTTTTATTTATTTTTTTTGTATTAATTTCCAATAGAATGGTTATGTAGATATATTTTCCTATTATTATTTTTTAATATTTTTTGTCTTCTTTTATTTGTTTTTTTTTATTAGGTTCCTCAATATCCAGCCTTGAGGCTGCCACAGAAAAATTCCCCGATACTTTATCGTCACGATGCAATGAAGTAAGTAGCTTGTGGGCACCCTGTATATGCACTCTAGAAACATGTATTGGTTGGTATCCTTGCGGTCTGAAATATTGTAAAGGTAAAAATGGTGGCGATAATTCGGCGGCGGCAGCAGCATCCAATTATCGCTGTGGCATTAAGACATGTCGTAAATGTTCTCTATTCTCGTATTATGTTAGACAAAAACAACAATGCCTATGGGATGAATGACGAGAACTGCAACAATTTCGGTTGCCAACACAAACGAATAGAATACGGAAAACACAAATGGAATTATTGAAAAGCCAAGTGCAGAAGGAGGAGGAGCAGCAGATGTTGTTCTTCCAACGCTCTTCATCCTCCACCTCTAGTATCGTCGTCATATATTGCTCAAATTTGTACAAACTCTTTAAGACAATAACAAGGAAACAATTACTAATGAAATTACTTCATTACTATCATCAATATCACCATCATCAAAGTAAACGAAACCATAGAGAATTTGCTGAATTAATAATAGCACCGACATACCACCACATGTCTGTATCGATAATAATGTTAACGATGAGGAGGATGGTGAAGATGATGATGATGGCATACCTAACAACTTTATTCGTATACCCTAGAATTTTAAAAGGACGATAGTGTATGCAAGTTTGTTCCTTTTATATACATTTTATGTACTAACATTACCATCATCCTCGTCTATCCTTTTTGTGTTTACCATTGAGATTAGGGTTTTCTGGGTACTTGCTATATTAGGTTACCCTAGCCATTTATATATGGCGTGTTAGTAACATAATACAAAATAGAAGTGCTTTTTAATAACAGCGTATATACACATACATACATATGTAAATATATATGTACATTTTTTATTCTATTCTCAATTTTTTAAATAACTTTTAGACGAGAGTTTTTATTTTATTTTTTTTAATTTTTAAAAAAGACATACAAAATATTGCAGAAAAATTAAAACATTTTTTTAAATTGATTTATCTATAAAATATTCTTTAGTACATTTCTTTTTGAAAACTTTTCTTTTTGAAAACGTTTCAACATGTTTTTTTTAATGTTATGTTTTCTACCAAATTTGAAACATTTCAACCTTTTCTAAAATATTTTAATAATGCCTGCGAAATGCTCTTATTTGAATTTTCTCTTTAAAAGCCTTTTAAATGTCTTTAATAGTGAATTTTTGAATGCTTTCTGATGGGATTGAATATTGTGGGTTAGAGCCAGGCTTTAGCTGAAGATCCTGAGTTTTTTTGAGATACAGTCAATGGACGAATATCCTTTTAGCTTTTCCAGATACAGCAATTACTAACATGTCTTTTATGAGTTAATTTTTGAGACGTATCCACAACCTCCTCATTCATTTCATCAAAAAGATCAGCCTACCTCCGTTAGTTTTCTATTTTAATTTGTACTTGTGTTTTCAATTTTTAAACGGTTTAAATTGCAGCTCACGACATAAAAATTCAAAATTTTCCCCTAAGGCGGAGGACCTTAATTTGTCTTTATATAAAAATCTAATTTATGAAATCCTTTGCTAACGATTATTTGTCTATGTAATCGCTTATCTTTTCAATATCCTTAAGTGATTTGAAAAAAAATATATATTATATTCCTCTCGTTTTTATGGAGAGAGAATTATGAATTTATTTTTCTATTGAATTAAAATAGTTAATTATGTCGAGCCAAATAAAAAACATGCGAACAAGGCTTGTGACAGAAAATTTCTTCAATAAGCCGAATTTGAAAGATCACGTTCCAAGATGTTGCTTTCTACTTGGTCTTTCCATCTAATTCGTGGCCTTCCCCTTCTACGGGAACCATCAGTAGGCTCGCTTTTATATGCCTTTTGAGCTGGGGCATCATCATCCATTCTCACAACATGACCTAGCCATGACGTAGTCGCTGCAATACGATACGTCTGACTATGTCCATGTCCAAGAATAGATGGTACAGCTCATAATGTATATATTCCTGCTTATATTTCAATATTTTTTCTATATATTGAAACTATTTAATATTAAATTCCTCTCTTCTTTTAGATAAGATAGAGAGAGATAGAGAATAATCTATTTGTAAGTTTTGTTTAATCAATTCAATTTAGAAAAAAATCCATCTTTGACTAAAGAATCTACAAATGTTTTTGTTTTAAAGTATCATTTAAGTTCAGGATTTTTTGTAATAATTTTATTGAAAAAAACATATTTTCAAGGCCTCACTGGCCAAATAATATTCACGTTATATTTAAAACAATCAATTTCTTTTAGAAATTAGACTTAATTTAACTTTAATGAATATTGCATTTACCTTCTTCATCTTTGACTAAAGAATCTCTATATCTTTTTGTTCTCAAGTATCATTTATGTTAGAAACAAATAAAGTTTGAAAGACATTTGCATATGAATTCCACAATGGGCAAATAAAGGGGGCCTATCCCCTTTGCCATAGAATTCACACCTTTTTAGTTGTTAATTGTTTTTCAGCAACTAAATAAAACCATTTCCCTTTTATTCTGTATATCCTCTCCCCCTATACCCTAATCGCGTTCGTTCATAAATCGACGATCCAACATCTTTTGCTAAAGAATCATCTAATTATTCGATAGCATGGTAAATAGAACCTCATTGTATAAACAATGATTAACATGATATTTATTTCATTTGAATATCATGTTTGTGTACAGGTTTTTTCAATAGGAGAAGGATATTATTTTGAAATAAATAACCTGATTATAGCATTGGATGGGCTGATGTACATCGTTAGCTAAAGAATATTAACCTAGAAGCCACTTAACGTTTACCTCCATTTAAGGGGTTCCTTTTGCGATTTCACTTTTGCAAACTGAACATTTTTTTTTATATTCTCTCCATCTTTGATTAAAGAATCCCTATATTATTTTCATTTAGTCATACTTAAATATTCTAAATCATGTAAAAAAAGTTTAACAAATTTCGTAAAAAATTCACATTTCGGAATAACGCTGTTTTCAATACCACTAACCAAACCATTGCTATAACGACTCTTAACAGGTAATAATTGAACACATATTCGTTATTTTCGCTAATAAGAAAATAGGTTCGCAGGTTTTTTATATATGCTGCGAACACAGTTTTAGAATTTACTTCCATTATGTTTTTTTATTGGACTAAATAGTTAATTTGGAGCCTGAGAAAAATGTCCCATTCTACACATTTCATTGACTGAAGAATGCTTAATAGACTTCCAGTCCATATTAAAAAATTAATAGTTTTCTCAAGGCTGATTACTTGTAATCAGGGTTATGAGCCGTAGACACAGGGTAACTGGTTTTTAAAGATTAATGGCTGTCTCAGAAGAACATTAAATTGATACTCAGTTGTCAAATCTATGTCACCCTGTTCTATCTGAGAATACATTGTAAATAGTGACGGAAATAAAAGGTGATTTTTATTTGTAATGCTTTAGTGATTATCCCCACATAACACATATATATCTCTGACTACAGAATCAGTAAAATATAATCCATACAAAAATAGTAAAGTTGATTTAGGATATCCTAACGTTTATTATAACAATAGAAAAACATTCGATTACACGTAACTGTAGTCCAAATACTGTAAACATGAACTTGTTCCTTTTGGTGAAAACTGATAATTATCTAACCCGAATGGCGTTATCTTGGACGTTATCAAAAATTACGCAACATTTTGATAATAGAACATAATGACGTTTAATTGAATTATGTAAAACATTTCCAAAACAATTTTATATTTATTTGAAAATATCATTATTCACCTTGGATAACAAGGTGAATCAGACACTATGGTGGATAAATATAATACTATGAAGTTTTTTTTTTCTTATTTGGAAATATTGGTGCAACATACTTTGACGTGCGCCAGATTTTATATATTATTATAACTAAACCTAACGTGTTAATTACAAAAAAATCAATGTTGTATTTCTTCCGATACTCCATTTTTTTGGAGATTTTTTTTCGGTATTTTTTTGTCATTATTAGAAATCACAAAATATTATTATAACTGCATTTAATTGAAATGAAACGTACTACCAGTCTCTATATAATCGAAGTTTGTAGATTCATTTAAAAAAAAAAAAAATATACAATATACAAAAATATACAGACCAATACTATAGGGTGTTGGCAGACTTTATTATTTACTCGGACTTTACACGGTACTTACATAAACTGAGGGAATCGTACTTCGTTACAACCACATATGTTTACTTATTACTTATTCTAGATGATTCTAATTTTAGATAATTCTAGATGTGTCTAATTTTAGATAATTCCAATTCGAGATTATTCTAATGATTACTTATGACACTATCAAAAGTAACCATAAATTTCATATTTCAATTCTTAACGTCAATAGCAGTGTGCTTTGGATCATTGTCCTGTTGGAAGTAGTAATTATTACGAATTTTGAGTTTTCAGCACTTTGATTCAAATTTTGTTTCAAAATATTCATGTAAACTGTTTTATTAATTATTTCCTCAATGAATACCAAATTGCCAACACCAATTGCTGATGCATGCATCCCCATACCATTACTCCACCCTCTCCGTGCTTTATTGTTTTCCGAGTATTCTTTTGATTGAACCATTTTTCCGCCACACCAAGGGCGTCCATCCGACCCAAAAATGTTAAATTTCGATTCGTCCGAGAAAATAACTTTTTCCCAGAACTCATTTGTCTTGTTTTTATAATCATTTACGGAACAAGTCTAGTTTAGGTGCTCCTCTCGGTTCGCTTTGAAATTTACCGTACCGTAAATAGTCCTCGTTGAGCTGATTATAGTGATACATATCTTCCCGAGATATTGGCCTTGAAAGTTCGGAGCATATCTTAATTAAAACGGCAGTTTTACTAATGCCGCAAAGGCAATATGGGTATCATTTTAAAGCTCTGAAACTGGTCCTTTTTAAGACCAATTTCAGAATCAAATGTATGGTTCCGATCCGAGTGGAGCCCCTAAACTAGACTTAAGCCTCATTTGCAAAATCGACACGCATTGAATCCACACTTCTTAATGAAAAATCCACGCCTATATACGATCTTTAAAAACATATTTTTAAAAAATGGATCTTTGCAAACATATTTTTCGAAAAATCCACGCATTTGAATCGTCCAACAAATTATTATAACTCCAAAAATATTCAAGTGACAAAATAAAGCAATCTCATAATAACTGAATAATCATTATTATCGTTTTTCATTCAGATCCCATTTATAACCAGATAGTTAATTT